GCGGGGTCGCAGCTGCCTCTGCGCGTCCTGGGGAGGTACATTTGTTGCGCGCCGGAGACGACTCGACGTCGCTGAGATCGGAGATCAAGCTCGGATAGGTCGCACGTCGCTCCTTTGACGCCGACGTGACTCACCCGTGCAGATCACATCAGGACACGGTCTCGACGCGCTCGGTACGACGCCTGCGACCCGTCTCGGGTCAGGTGGCACGACGCTCATCGCGCCTGCCAGCGCTGCCGTGCAGGTTGCCACGACGAGGTCGAGCACGCTTCTATACGCTCGCCGAGCCTTCCTTTCCATCCCATTAGGCAGCCTGGGAACGGTGGCGGTCAGAGGCAAAGCCTACGAGGGGTGGTGGAACCACATGTCACGGCTACTGCCGGCTCGACCCCACGATAGCCTCCGAAGGCTGACTTTGAGGCACCATCATCGGACGATGTCGACGAGTTGGGTCGCTCTCGCGGTAGTCAGATGACCTCCCATGCTAGTATCATCGGCTAGGGCCGCAGGAAGCGCGGGGGAGGGCGCTGGGAGCAACACGGAGCTCCGTTGGACGTTTTCAAGATTAGCGTGTCAGAGTGAAATGGAACTAGCCAAAAGCCGGCAGAGGCGCGCGCTGCCACGTGCGTCCGCCACACATCGCACAGCGATCCCGGCGGCAGCTCGTGTAGCAGCTCGACCTGCGCAGCAACCCACATCAGGCAACGTGTGCGACACCGCCACTTCTCACTCTGCGACTCGAAGGACGTCAGGAGGGTGTCGGAGGCGTGCCGCTGCGTCCACTCCCTCGCCGTCCGGTTGTATGCCGAGCGGTCGTCCCGGCAGAGGCGAAGAATTTCGTGCATCTGCGCGTCGCCCTCCCAACAGCGACTGTCCGAGATCGGGTCCGCGAGCAGTGACTGCAGCGCAACCAGCACGCGGTCCACGGTGAGCGCCGGCGACCACTCGCTATCCAACAGGTCCACGCAGATCTGGCCAGTCGCACAGTGGATGTTGGCGTGATACACTGGCGTGAGGAACTTACCACCAAACTCTCTCGCACACGCACGATTCACACAACAGGCAAAGCGCGGACGACGGCTTCTAATAGAAGCCGTCGTCCTCACAGAAGCCGTCGTCGGATTCGCAGTCAGAAGGCGGATGGTCGAATCGGCGAGCACCGTGGTGCTCGCCGAGAGGACCATCCCCATCCCACGTCGTGGGGTGCGAGCTGTGCGAGGCCATTTTCTCTCGGAACCGCTAATAGACACGCCAGTCGCAAAAAATATTTTTGTGCAGCTAGCACCACACTCCTCTCCTTAAAATCCCTGTGTGGTGGCGGTGTGCCGTCCTCCGACCTCCCATCCCTCCCTTCGCTTCTTTCTTTCTTTCTTTCTTTCCCACCCGCCGTTGGGTTTGTTTTTTCACCCCTCGAGCGTCTCCGTTTTATTTATTTATTCATGCAGCGGCGTGTTCTAAAAACACACACAAACCACTGCACAAGCGGAGCGGTAGCGCCTCTGAGCTCCCGGGCGGCTGCGCCGGCCGCGCGGGCCGTGGGCGCAGCGTGGGGCCGGGAGCGCGGCCTGCTCCGTGCTCATGTATCCAGCGTCTCTAGACGATTACAAAGGATCGGACGTCACGCACATTTTGACAGGGACATCGGAAATCGGACACATCCACTGGGACGAGTCAATTCATTCACTAGAATGACTAGAAAGGGCACCCATGGGGGGTGATCGCATCCCCCCAAATGGCGGTGGGCGCCGCAGTGCGCAGAGCCGGCATTGTGAGAGTCAATCCCGCGCATTGGTGTCGACGCTGCGCCTCAGCTTGTCGCGCGCGACCCACTTGGTGAGGAAGTCGGCGGGCATGAGGTCGTCTGCGATCTTGACGACGCGGCACTCGCCCTCGGCCATGCGGCGCTGGAGCGTGTGGTACCGGCGGAGGAAGTGGCGCGAGCGCGACGCGGACATGGCATTGTTGGCGACGAGGACGTTGGCCTTGTTGTCCGAGAGGATGACCGTGGGCCCGAGCTCCTCCGTGGCGAGCGTCCGACTCTCCTCAGCGGCAGGCGCCTCGCCGTCGCCGCCGACTCGCTCAAGCTCGCCGATCGCGACGGTAAGCTGACGCCGCAGCAGGTGCGGACGCAGAGCATCATCGTCCACCTCAAGTTCGTCGAGCGTGTCCAGCCGAAGCTCTGTCTGGTCCCCTCCACCACCGCCTCTCGTGCGTGATGTCTGCGCCGCCGCCGGCCGCCTACGACGTCGCGCGCGCCGCCCTCAACATGGCCCCTACGAGCATATAGGGACGACGGGATCACGTTCGGCGGGCCTCGCGCTGTACGCCGAGCTTCAGGGGCACATGCAGGCCCACATTCTTCATTGCGGGGCTCGACTCGCACGCGCCCGCCGATCTCGCGCTGCCGCCGCCGACGCCACGTGGAACGGGGACCTCGAGGCTCGACCTCTACGCACTACGGCATCGTCCCCACGTGCTTTGGCGCACGCACATTTTGACAGGGTGTCGGAAATCGGACACATCCACTGGGACGAGTCAATTCAGTTCACTAGAATGACTAGAAAGGGCACCCATGGGGGGTGATCGCAACCACGCAAGACGCGACACAGG